TGCCAAAAAGACAAATATCATCAGTTGATATAATTTATCAGTGATCACTTTGAAATTAAAAAAAAAAAACTAGAAAATCAACAAAAGCAATGAAAAGATACTAGTTAGATTTTTTTGAACAATCAGCCAAAATTGATTGATTTTTAAAGACAGGTCAAAGAATACAGTTCGAAGGGACAACGGGTTTCTACCCGAACTGTCTTTAAGATTTCTACCTGAACTGTCTTTAATACATTTCCTTCTTTTGATAAAGGTAACAGCTGGTAATCAGAATTTTATATCACCTGGGGTCACTTGATTTGATGTCAATTTAAAATTGTCATTAAAAAAGGTTTGTTGGGGGCTGGGGATGTGGCTCAAGCAGTAGCGCGCTCGCCTGGCATGTGTGCGGCCCGGGTTCGATCCTCAGCACCACATACAAAAATGTTGTCCACCGAAAACTAAAAAAAAAAAACATATATATATATAAAAATTCTCTCTCTTTCTCTCTCTCTCTCTTAAAAAAAAAGGTTTGTTGGGGGAAGTTTTTATTGATGCTGCTTTAACTTTGTAATGTGTTTTGACTGGGTAATGTAAGATTGGAGACATAAACAATATACACTGTACTTTAATAAGCACATCTGATACAGGTATGGTAGGTTAGCAATTTTCAAGTTACTTTACATTTGTACCAGGGCTAGAAAAAAAATAAGTAAGCAAATTATAGATAATAGGAAGAAAAATAAGTTACAAAGAAAGGGAAAAGCTAGAATGAATCCTATGGTACTGGATTAGGAGTTGGAGATATCAGTATGAGCTCACATTTCAAATACATATAGAATATACCAAAGTCATTATAGATGTGTATATACATGTTAATACACATTAATATATTTCCCAGCTCTGTTCATTGAGATCTAGAAGCAACCTAATAGCACAAGTACATCTAATGCCCAAATCTTAAGTTCTGAATACTGTTCTCCAAAGAAAGAAACAGGGATCTTTGGAGAAATTACTGTTTCTGGAGTTGGGAAGGAGAAAATACAAGATAAATCTGGAGAACTTTTTTATGTGGGGGGTGGAGGAGTGGTGCTGGATTTGAAACCAAGGCCTCACTCATGCAATCTGCCACTGAGCTCCCATCTTGGAGCATCTTATGGTTCCAGCAAGTAAGCAAGGATAAGGAGGAGGAAAAAAAAGAGCCTGGGGGCAACCCTGATGGTTAAGCCTGGAACAATTTGAGCAACAAAACAAATAATTATAGTATTGGGTTTTAAAATAAAATAAAACTCCATGGGTTTATATTTAAAAATTGATTGAGTAAATAAGGGAGAAGGGACAACCCTCCTTTACATTAGAATTCCAAATATGTGTAGATAGCCCCCTCTCCAGTGGAGCTTAAGTCTTCTCGTCATGTATGTTTGGACTTGTTTCCAAAGAACAAAATATGGAAAGGGAAAATAGTTTTACAATAGAAAAATCTGGCAGATACCATTTTAACCAAGTGTTAGAGGTTAACATCACCAATCATAAGTCACATTGGTCTTATGTACACACTGATATATTCAGAAGGGCACCACACCTCTGTGACATTCTTCCCCAGTATAATCACAGGAAAAATATCCATTAATCTGAATTGAGAGATGTTCTACAAAATATTTATAGGTTATAATTTAAAATGTCAAGATCTAGAAAAACAAGGAAAGAATGAGAAACTGTTAGATTAAGAAGACATGATGACTAAATGAAGTGCAGTGTGTTAGAGTGGGTCTAGGAACAGAAACAAGATGTTTGTGGGAAAACTGGCAAAATCTAAAAAAAAAAATCCTAGTTAGTGTCATCCTGATGCAAACAAGTTAGTTTTGACGAACCTGTAATGTTTATAGAAGGTGTTAGCATTAGTGGAAGCTGAAAGCAGGGCATAGTAACTCTGTACTAACTTTGAAGCTTTTCTATAAATCTATAGTTAACCCAACTTTTTAAAAAGCTTCTGCAATCCTTACTAATTTGTATATTTTATCTGTAAGATAAAACATTTCTTAATCCATATACTAAAACTTATCAATGATGCAGAAAGAGAACTAAATATTATAAAATATCAGCTTATTAAAGATTACAAATCAGAAAAGCTTAAATGTATAAGCTCTATAACTAAAAACTTTCACAATTTCTTTAAAAATTGCATTTAGATGAATAGAGGATATATATATAGAGAGAGGATATCCTAATATCAGCTAATGAGAAGATGAATAGCAAGGAATTGTTGCCTATAGGCAAAGAATGTGAGCTTATTGATCGTTTGTGTGTATAAGAAAGATTTCCTTGAAAGGCCATGGCAAATACCTTTAATTTTCCCTCAACATAAATTGGTTCTTTCTTAACTCTTTTCAGAATTTACCAAATTTTAGCTACCACATACTACTTTAAGATTTTCTATGTCTTTAAAGAACTGAAGCTATAAAATGATATAGGGCTGGGGGAGGCAACACATACCTGAACATTAACTGTGTGTAACTGAGAACTGAGATAGGTGGTTTTTGGTTTTTCTTCTTTTCCAGTTTTCTGTAATGGAGGGTTCTATAACCATCCTGTGGCACAGTGCAGATATTCAGGGTTCCTGGTTGAATTAATACTTAACTGGTATCACTTTTGTTGAAGAAGCAAGGTAAGGATGGCTTCCAGAGGCCTCCACCCAACATCTTCACTGCTGCCATTCAGGAACTGGCCCTGTGGAATGCTACCCAGGACTCTGGGCACAAGAGGTGACAAATGGAGCTGATGATGCTTAGATGTCTGGTGACAAAGGAACTTCTGCCTTCCCTGTGTCAAACAGTTCAAACGGGTAGGGACCATCTGTGAAACAATGGCGAGAGTACACGAAGACTTGAGGTCAAAGTTCTCCCTGCAGTGCCCTAGTGACTACAACTACAAACACACCCACTGCCAAATTCTTCATACCCTGCTACCATCCCAATATGTCCACTGGTAGCATCTACTTGGACATACTAAAGGACAAGTGGTCTGCCCCATATGACATTAGGACCATCCCACTATCCAAAATGGACAGCACATTGCATACACATGCTGCTACACTCTGGATACACACAGGGCCTTTAAATACTGTAAGAAAACTAAAATGTTTCCTGACCCACCTTGTCCAGCTTTTCTTCCGGTATTTTCATTTTTTTTCTTAGATGGTTCTTTCTCTGGTTTCTGTGCCTTAGGCTAGGATGTCTTATTTTTCTTTTTAAAATTTTATTTTGAGACAGGGTCTGGTTGAGTTGTTCAGGCTGGCCCTGAACTTGTAATCCTCCTGCCTCAATCTTCTGAGTAGCTGGGATTGCAGACCTGAGCCCACTATGCCAAACTTGTTACTTTTATTTTGCTTCTATTTGTCTCCCATGCTGAGCCCTTGTGAAAAATAAATTGACTACATTTGGCTTAAAAAAAAAATCAATCAGGGTGTCAAGTTTTAGGACAGACATGTATAATCACCAGTATTCTTTATAATCTACAGTCTGTAAGACAATTATAAAGATGAAAGGATTTAAAAATAAATGCCAATTCTAGAAACAATTGTAGTTATGCAAACAAGAGAAGAAGCCTGCATTAAGAAATTCATTTGGTCTTTAGAGGGAAAAAAAGTAAATATTAAATTAGCTCTAATATGTCTAAAATAAATCAAGAACTTCACCAAAAATGATCACAGGGATGTTTTATAATTTTTCTATAATAGTCTGAATCATCTTTCCATTTTTAGTTTTGGCAGTGATAATGCCAAATACTTTAAACCACTCTACTCCTGAACTTACACTGAAGAATATACTGATTAACACTCTAACTGCACTAATGAAACTACCACTCATTCTTCTTTAATGGAATGTATGTCTTAATTATGCTTCTTTTTGCTTCCCCCATGCCCCCCAGTACTAGGGACTGAACCTAGGGCCTTGAGCATGCTAGGCAAGCCTTCTATTACTGAGCTGCAGCCCCAGCAATTACAGTTCTTTTACAAGCTTAAGTTTTCAATTTTTTAAAGACAGGGAAATTTACTTTTTAACTTTTGGAATCAAACATAAATGAAGCATATTAGGAAAATCAGCTAAGCTGGCAAAATTATATAAAGCTGTAATTTCATGAAAAAATCCTATTTAAGAGTCTTTGCAATAAACATATAAGGTAACATGGTACCCAGGAACCAACTATTTCACTTAACTCTCAAAGCTACAAAGTTCTTGACAAAGACCATTGTATCTAATAGTATAGACCTGAAAATATGAAATACAATCTCTCAGAGAAATTAAAAGTATCTAGAGAGCACAGTAAGACTTTTTCTTATTCAGATCCTTAAAAATATAACATTTGTATTTGCCTTAAATATTTAAATATTTGTACTGCTGGTAGAGACAACCATAGACTAATGTTTAAAAAGGCCCTGTCAAAAGGATCCATGAATGAGATACATTAATTATTCAAAAGAGAAAATCCTGTTAACACTGGATTTCAATTCATGATTAAAATTTAGAAATAATGGCCAACACATGTTCTGGATCAATTAAAACTTTTTATATCAGGTAACTTAAGACATAAGGAAAAGACAAAGACTACTTGGAATTTATGATTTAAGTGATAGATATAAACATATAATATTTACCTTATAGTATCTATATTACTATATATACTTCTGATACTTCGTACCAAAACTATTTTTAAAAAAAGAAGAGGTAAAAGCAATTCTCCTCCTACACATTTCACAACAAAAGACTTGTTATCTTTATGGTCTTTCCTGGAAAACATTAGAACAAACTGAAGAAAAGCCATCTTTTTTACATAGAAGTATTAATAATACATGCTTTTTCTTAAATTCTAACTGGTCATAAATTACTAAATAAGTTTTTTTTTTTTTTTAAAGGAGTCCAGGATAAAATAAAAAAGAAAAAAAAAAGAGTCCATGAGCCCATAACCATATATTTTAAAATAACAACCATTAAGTATTAAAAGTTAAAAAGAATACACTTAAATTTGGTGCAAATTTAATTTTATTAGACCTTACAATGAATGTTGTGGCATATTGTTTTCCACTGTGTGACAATTTATTGGCTGGCACCTGAATACAGTACTTCTTCTGAAAAATACACAATGGGAACTGACAAAAGAGAGAGAAACTAGTTGTTTAGTAATACAATGAGGGTGGGGAAAAAAAGAAAAAAAAAAGAAAAATAGAAAAAGATGACCAATTTAGTTTCCTTAGTATCTAATTTTATAGTTCCAAGCAATAATGCTGTTGTTACAATGTACAGAATACGGTATTATCTCATACAGCTCCCACAATTCTGAGAAAATTAATTACAAGCATTACTATACCTGTAAATTCAGTCTAGGGTTTTTTCTGGGAAATATGGCATTAAAGAGCTACTTTTTCAAATATCACATAGGTAATTTCCCCAAGTCACAGTAAATGGAGGTTTCTAAAATATTACAAATTAAGGTAGCCACTTTATAAGTGAGCAATCACCTAACTTCAAAATCATAAGGGCACCAAATTATCTTTGTTGATTTAGACTTAAACTTGTCAGATTTAGGGACAAGAAAAATGACTATTTTAAAATCTATAATCTATTTGTCTTCAGAAAGTAGACTGGTATCTGAGTAAAATGACCTTTTATAGAAATTATCAAAACAGTGGAACATCTAAAATTCAAAAGCCCCAACAGGGTATTTTTTTGTAGAAATTTAATCAAATTCAAACATTAACTCAAGCCAACACCATCATACTACAGTTTTATTTTGGCTCAAATGAGTACAATTAGTTCACTAAACATTTATTCATCTGCTCTTAAAATTTAAGAATTTTATTTTATTCAGTCTTACAATTTTAAGAATACTTTCAGATGAAGGCCTTAACAGTATCTGAGGTCACACTTATGAACCAACTTCCTCTAAAATAAAATCATGGACAATTGTGATCTATTAAACTGATTTTTCAGAGCTCCCAATGGCATTTGTAGAGAGGGAGAATTGTACCCTAATTGAAATAAGACATTACAGTTATCAAGACTGAAGACTAGTTCTAAGTTACCTATTTTTAGTGGTGGAAAAAATGATATTTTAAGAAATCCTTATTTTATACTGGAGTTGCACGATTCAATTTCACCTGTAAAACAACATTAGATGTGCCTAGCTCAAAGAATGTGTAAAACCCACTCCCTTACCCCTGCCAAAAAAGGAGGGGAAAATATTAAATCACTTTAAAAAATCCAATTGTCATCTTTTACCTCCAAACTGAGATCAATTAATATAGTCACTATACTTGCAAAGTTTTCCTTTTTTAAAAAAAAAAGTAGCTCATGAATATATCTTATATTACAAAGTTAGAGGCAGATGATTTAAAAATATTAATGTCTGATATTTCTAGAACATTTAAATCATAAATTATTCTTAATATATGTGGCAGTTGAAATATTTCATCAAATTTGCCCAGAGTAGTAAGAGATAGTAAAATCTCTTCATCAAAAAGTTGGAGAGTGGCCATTGATCAAATTGAGCTAATGATCAAATGAGCTAATCATTTTCCAATGGTGAAATTAAATTTACAACCTAGTAAAATAGGAAGGATATCTTTTTAAAAATCAAACCTCAATTATTTAGCCAAAAAGTCTAATGTTCTTTTATTTATTAACTACTCTTCATTACAAGTTTCTACTGAATTAAGATGAAGATTAATCTAATGTAACTGTGTGCATGATGACTCTTTAAATAGCATTGCATCAACCTTCAGAATAAAATGTCAACCCCAAAATCCAAGTGGGTGATCCAGCTCATTTAAACTCACAGGTAAACTGAATTTTTCTCAAATCAATAAGGAGCTTTTTATTCAGAAAAATTTCATTAAGACATTTTCAGGGCAAATATGCCACCATAAATTTTATTCTGAATAACAATAAAGTGCTGAATGAAAATTACCTGAATCTTTTTTAGTAGTTTTCACTTATCTTTTCTTAAAAGAGCCCTTTCTGTGGCATTAGCAAATCTGTGAAAGAAAAGAGGGAAGGAGGAAGAGAGGGAGAGAGGGAGAGAAGGTGAGGGAGAGAGGAAGAGAGAAGAGGGAAGGGCTAACTTTAAGTAAGGAACAGGAAGCACTGCAACCTTTTGTGTTTAAGTGGGGTGACAAATAACTGAGACCAAAGTAATTCATGCAAGTTATCTTGAAAGGTATACATAAGCTTGAAGAAAGAAAGAACACTGTTACTGACCTTTGATACTACGGCAGTAAATTGCATAAAATACCTTAATTATCCTAGATGCCTAGATCTGGCTTGGCAAGCATCATGCCACCGACATGCTTTAGCTCTTTTTTTGTAACAAAACGTGATTTGCAGTTCGATGACTGAATATCTCAATGTGACTTATTAAGCTGTGTGATAAACTTTGAGGTTAAATTTAAGCAAATTTTCTACACCTAATCACACCATCAGCACAAGCAGGACAACGCTGGAGCAGCATGAAAGGTGGGTCACTTTGGAGTCTTCCTTTTACTGCATGATATATTAAGATGACAGACCTAAATTTCAACTGGGTTAATGAGTTAGAATAGATTTGTTTCCCAAATTTAGCACACAAAAATTTCTGTGGATTAGAGAAAGAAACCTCAGATGTGAAGAAAAAAAAACCAAAAACGCTTGAGCTCAGATAGCAAACCTGCAGCTCTAAAAACTGTCATGCTACAAGAGTACTTTCATAAAATGAACTTTGTAACAAACTTAAGAAAACTGTGTTTTGAGTTGAAGTTGACCAACTGCTGCATAGAAAATACACTAACATACAACAGTCAAGTTTAAGCCGGTGCATAGAGAAGATAAAGCACTTATGGTAACTGCAAATGGTAACAAGTCCATAAGGTTTGTACTTTGTACTACCTAGCATGGGTCCAGAAGGGGGAAAAATTTTGTATTAGAAATGGTTAAGAAAAAATAAAATAAATAAAGTGGAAACAGGAGAGAAGCTTGGAGGAGAGAAGAAAGAAGCAGGAAAGAGACCTTCAATTGTATAAAATTCACAAACCAGTAAAGTATAAAGACACCACTGAAAAACAGTTAACTCTGTCCCAAACAAGCAACAGCAAACAAAACCAGAATGGATAAGCCTTTGGTGGACAACTTTAGAAATTTGAATATGACATTACAATTTCTCAGTAATTCACAAATAATATATGGTATATTTATATTAAATACTGGGAAACCAATCCTGTAAATCTGATGCTTACAATGCGTTAGCCGATGAGAGCACAATGATATTAAGCTAAATGAATGCTGGTGTTATCACAACAGTGCTCATTTATGAAACAACTGTTAACCAATTCGTGCTTTAACAGTGCTTAAATACAGTCAAATTATCATCTATGAAGAGAAACAAAGGTCTCTAGCTTTTCTGGAATATGCCCTTTATAATATATTCTATGATTCACGATGACACGAGCAGCCAGACATTGCAATGTGGTATGATTTATGGGCTGGATCAAATTTTTAGCTATTTCCTTCTCATCCAGCAAGTCACTGGCAGTTTGTTTGTGCAAGTTTGTGGCATCAAAATGTGCACCTGATTTAATAAGGAGATTCATGATGTCTGGATGGTTGTTCAAAGCAGCGATATGTAGGGGGCTGTTGTCATCGGAGTCTCTGACATTCACATCAGCACCACATTCTATCAGTATCGCAGTAACTTGCAGAGATGGAAATTTACAAACAGGGTATCGCCCTACACATGTAGTATTCTTGTCCACAGCCAGATGAAGAGGGCTGAAGTTATTCTTTCCTCTTGGATGCAGCTTAAGAAACCTGTAGATAGTCTGCTTTTTGAAATGGTCCTGTTCTAGAGTACAAGGAACTTTCTCTAACAAGCAAATTAAGTGCAAAATGATGGAAAGAGCCTTATTTAATTGCAATGGGTCAGCTGGACATTGAGTTTGTTTGATAGCTCGCTCTATTTCAAGGACACTTTTGCACAGTATGCCCATAAGATCATCAAATGTGACAGTAGTACCCAACAGGCCTTTAGCCCTATCCTGTAGCATAAAGGAGAATAGTTCTGCAAAAGATAATAAGCTGCTAGCGGTCATGGGGCTTAAGGGGTCCAAATTGTTCTGTTGCATATCCAAAGCATACTTCCATAGGTTGATGCATCGTTTGAAATTTCCAGAGTCTGCATAGACAGCACCTCTATATCTAATATAGTAAGAGGTATCAGGATGAGAAGGACCAAGAATACGTTCTCTAATTAATAGTGCCTGCATTCTCATTTCATCAGGATCAGCAATAAGACCTTCTAGCTCCTCTGTACTATTTACCTCCTTGGCATAATCATAAGCCATTATTAGTGTCTGCGGTACTGGTTTACTAATTATATTAGTCCTATCACTGTACCTCATGTTCATTGCCTTTTTCCAGTATTTCAAAGCCCCCAGGAGATCTCTTTTTTTGTCTACAAATGTAGCTCCGAGAAGCTCTAGAGCATTGATACGTTCTGTCTTGCTGGTCTGTGCATGGTGTGTCAGAAAATCCACAATATTTGTGTGACCAGTCACACTTGCTGAGAGAAGGGGAGTCATTCCATAACCATCTTTTTCCATCTTTGCACAATACATAAGAAGCATCTTCATGATGTCCAAACTTCCAGATTCTGCACAATCATGCAATGCAGTATTACCTTAAAGAGAGGAAAATAAAAAGTAATATAATTTGAGAGAAAAGAATATAAAGTAATACAAATATGTACTTTAGAATCTAAAGAAAAGCAGACAACTCCAAGCCACCCTTAACTAGGTGATATTTTAATTACAAAGAAAAAAACAATTTGTTCAGTACCTAAAATTAATATATGATACACAGCAGGAGCTGAATAAAATATTTGTTAAACTTACTGAATAAATAACATGACCAAATTAGGTAAGGAAAGATATCTAAAGTCACCAGATAAAAGAATTAATATAACGCCTCTTGGTATTTTTCATTAGTGTTTTAAGTGAATATTCTATGACTAAAAACAGATGAAATAAAATTAACTAGCTATTCAGTTTTGCTGACAGTCATTTAACTTTCTGGATCAGCTTCCCCATTTCTTAAGGAGAAACCTAGTATTTTAATATCTAAGATTTTTGCGTTTGATTCTAATGGAGGTCAGAAATTGTCAAGTAAGCTTCAGCTATTTTAGCCAAAACTTATGGTTACAAAGTACTTTCCCTAAAAACCTCCCATAAGAAAAACAAATCCACTAAAATCTGAAAAATACGTGGGTAGTTCAATATGAACTTTAAAAGGAGACATCTGAAGTGTCCTTTCGTAATGAAATATTTCCCATTGTAATTTAATTTTTTTAAACATTCTTTTTAGTTGTACTAAATGTTCTAACACTGTCCTGTTCTTCCCACACATGAATTAAAACTGACAACAGGCACTGGAACATTAGAAAAAGCCTGTATGAAGTATATTAGGACATAAATATCAGGTATTTTAGCTATGTAATTTTTTTTTTAGTTGTAGATGGACACAATATCTTTATTTTATTCATTTTTATGTGGTTCTGAGGATTGAACCCAGTGCCTCACACATCTAGGCAAGTTCTCTATCACTGAACTACAACTGCAGGCCCCTAGCTATGTAAGTTTAAAGATAAGTATTTACTAATTATCAAGAGAAATTATCATGCAGATCTTTGATATTCACATACAATGTTTGCAGAACATTTCAACAGTGAGTCATCTGGGGCATGTCTATAGAAAAAGAGTTAATTAACAGCATGCTGAGACTGCCATCCTCAGAAAGACCTACTTGCAAGGTTGACCCTTGGCTGGCATTTGGGAATTTTTAACAGTTCTCTGCATTGATATAATCCCCAACCCCAAAGGATAAGGTAGCTCGCTGTGCCCCCTGCACCCACAATGCATGTCAAAAACCTGGTTTCTTTCTACAGTCTAAAATTTTAGGTGTTAAAGCAAAGAGTACCTACCTACATAAGCAGTCTCACAGTAAAAGCCATAGAACTAAATGTCACGAAATTTCCCTGGGCAGTTTATTTTCACTGCTAGGGAGGAATGTGCTCTGTGTGCCTCTTCATAAAAGGGAGAAAGCATAAAAAAAAGGCTGCACACATATTTTTCTAGACCTCAGTTGCATCTTTTCCCCTGATGATCAAGTTCTGTATCCTTATTACATTATTGTAATAAATCTTAGCCATGAGTACAATTGTATGGTAAATCACCCTAAACATAGGGGTGGCTTTTGGGACCTCTGACATAGCCATGTGGCAGGAAGTTGTTTAAGCCTAAATACTTCAAATAACAAACCTACTTTATCACTAAAATTAGAGGAAAAAAAGTTATTATTCATTAGGACTTATATGCTTGTCCTGTTTTGTCTTCCATGATATCTGTAAGGACAACATAATTATTCCAGAGGTTAATTCTGACTCAAAATTTCAATGATCAACAATGAAATTATGTCTGAAAATATTTTTTTGTTGGGGGGCGGGATATACCAGGGATTGAACCCAGGGGCACTCAACCACTGAGCCACATTCCCAGCCCTTTTTTGTATTTTATTTAGAGACAGGGTCTCACTGAGTTGCTTAGCACCTCACTGTTGCTGAAGCTGGCTTTGAACTCAAAATCCTCCTGCCTCAGCCTCCCAAGCTGCTGGGATTTCAGGCATGCACCACCACACCCAGCTGAAAAAATGTTTTAATAATGTGTAAGGTGACCAAGCACTGAGAGTGCCTAGAATTTCTGACTACTGATGTTCATTTGTTTAAAATAATTTCTATCAAACACATTTATTAGACCAAATATATTTTAAAAACTATTTTGTTTTATGTAAACTATTTTGAATTGAGAATTACAACTATTTCCATTCCCCTCCCCAAGACATAGGCAATAAGAAATAAAAAGAAATCTCAGTAGGAAGAGAGGACCTAGACGGCATTCTTCTCTATTCAGAATAATATAAAATCAAAATAATAATGCAGCAAAAGGCAGTTTTTAAATTAACTAAATTTCTACATTTCTTGAAATAATACAGCCTATATTTTTGGAATAATAATACAGTCTAATATTTTGAAAACTACTTCATATAGAAGGCAGGGGTGAGGAGGTACTTTGGCACCTAGTAATCGTAGGGATAACATAACCACACACCCATTAAGAACTAGGAAAGATGAAGGAGCTCTTGCAGTGCAACTGGTTAACAATTTATAAGAACTAGGAAGGATGAAAAATGTATTTTTAAAAATTTGCTTGAGCTGGGTATGGTGGCTCATGCTGGTAATCCACCAGTTTGGGAGGCTGAGGCAGGAGGATGTCAAATTCAAGGCCAGCCTCAACTCAATGAGACCCTGTCTCAAAATAAAAAATTAAAGGGGATGGTATTGTGGCTCAGTGGTTAAGCATCCCTGGGTTCAATCTCTAGTACAATTTTTTTTTTCATAGCATTTATGAGACAACAAGGGGGCAAAATCTAGAAGTGAGAAAACTAGAGGGATTTAGGATAGCTTTCCACAATGGCCTCTACCAATTCTGGAAGAGACATCTGAAAACTGAGCAGAACTTTCAATAGCCTTACAAGGTCTAAAGGCAAAAACTTGAGTCTACAGTCTACCAAAAAAGGAACTCTAAAAATTCCTCATACTTTGGGTTACCTCAAAAGTATCAAGGTACCAAAGGCTGGTACCTTAGGGAGTTAAGGTAAATTACAAATAGGCAAGCCATCATAGGAACTCAAACAGAATTTAATAACAATCCAGGATGAGTAGTATATGTAATCAAAAGCTATAAGCAAATGTAAATACTATTTAAGGAAGATATTATAGTGCTAGGACTCAATTTTTTTCTTTTCTTTTTTTTTTGGGTGGTGCTCAGGATTGAAGCCAGGGCCTTGTGCATGCAAGGCAAGCACTCTACCAACTGAGCTATATCCCCAGCCCCCTAGAGCTCAATTTTTTATGTTGATGATATGTAACCAATGGTATACCCAATCAAAAAATAATGGACATAAAACAAACAACCAAAACACAAAAACTAAAGAGAAATAAAGACCTGAGAGCTAAATCTATCATGACATTCAATTAATGTAGTTATATACACAAATTTAAAAGCAATTATGCTTAGCATATTAAGAGATTTTTTAAAAATTGAGAATTCAACAGAAAACTGGAAATTACAGAAAATAACCAAATGAACATTCTAAAAGTGAAAAACTCAGTGGGTGGCTTTTAAAGTAGGTAACACACAGCTGAATAGAGAATTAGTACACTAAAATATAGGCCCAATGAAATATACAGAAATAAAGCAAGGATGGAAAAGCAGGAGACTCTAAGAGACAGGGAACAATGCCAGAAGCATTAACATACATAAAACCAGAATTTGAGAGAAAGGAAATGAGCCAAAAATAATGTTTAAGGAGATAAAGTTGGAGACATTTCTGAAGCTGATGAAAGGTTATACTATAAATTTAATAAGTTTTACAAACACCAAAAAGGATAAATAAAAAGAAAACTACATTGAAGCAAAGCACAGCAGAAGTGCTGAAAACTAAGGTGAAAGAAAATCTTAAAACTAGACAAAGGGTAGAAATTGCCTGCAAAAGAACAATTTGACAGCAAAGTTCTCACTAGGTACAACAGAAGCCAGGAGACATGGAACCCGTACTTAAAGCCACTAAAGAAAAGTAAACTGCTAACTTAGAATTCTATACCCACATCATGAATAAATGTGAAATAAAACACCATTTTAGATTAGAAAGAAAAACCCAAAACTAAAATATTTATTACTAGCAGACCTAAATATCATGGGAGTACTCTTTAGACAGAAGGAAGATGAGCCACTTGGAAGCTAGAGATGTGGAAATAAGTATCCACAAAATGAGTAAATTTGTGGATAAATCTTAAAATACTGACTTTAAAAATATCAGTATCTTGTAGAGCTTGCAATACATATAAGTAAATACTTTGACAGCAATAACATAAAAGTAAGCAAGATAACTGCCGTTAAAATGTTGTAAGATCTCTGCACTGTTGAAAAGGAGTAAAATTAGAAATCTCTGTTAGTCTTCAATAAGTCAAAGTAGTAATCACTAAAGCAATCACTAGAATAATAGTTCCAGAGTATGGATATAACTACTACATTGTCTTTAATACAGAAGAAAAAAATGGAATACAAATAATCTGAAAGACAGAGAAGGTGATGATGACAATGATGACAAAGAATGCAAAACAGGTTAGCACAAATAAAAATAAAAAAGGTAGCCAGATTTAAATTCAGCTGTATTAGTAATTATATTAAATGCAAGTTAACTAAATGGTTCCATTAAGACAAATGTCCCAAAACACAAACTCCAAAAACTCAAGACATGTAAGATGCATCTTGAATAAAGGGTTAAAGAAATGCTACAAGTGAAAAGGTGGCAAAAATATATCCTATATATAAACTAACCACAAAAATATAACTTATATTTAAAAATACTCTATGTAAAAATTAACCATAGAAAGCTCTTTAGAACTAAATTATCAAGTAGACATTAAAGCAAAATACATGATTAGACATAAAGGAAATATTTTATAATGATAAAATTCAAAATACAAAGATTCAATAACCCTAAATTTGTTTTCACCTAATAACATAGGTTTGAAATCCATAGAGCAAGAGTCAACAGAACTAC